GGTAATGGAAATAAAAGAAGGGAAAACGGTTTCTCCACGAAATGGCCCTACATAAAAATCACCACTGATATCATTCGGTTATTAGGCAATACGTTTTTTCCTACAACATAACATTATTCTCAACTCAAGTTCACCATTTTCAACGATACTTGATAATATATCCCTTGAACCTCCCTTTCTCGCTTCATTTGTAGCGTATTCCAATTGCAAGTTATATAGTGACACTGAGGTGATTTACACTGAAACTATATATGAAGCTTGTTTTTTCTCAGCATAGATAGATCTTTGCAAGAGTCAGAAAATGATGTTAAAGTATGTGGAAAAATATGTTGCGCTCGGGGTTTCGTATGAACTATACTATTGGAAATCTAGAGAAAATGTATGTATGGAAGTGGTGCAGTGCATAGGATTTCCACTATCATTCACAAGACCAACGTAATTTTCTCACCACTAGTATCATTCTCCTTTGACACCTCTTCACTTAATACGTCATCAATCGGCTGATTCTGGTCGGTTTCGTTTTCCAAACGATCATCATTTATTTCAGTTTCGTCAATGATATCGTTATTAGGTGTACTTCTTGTTCGATGATAGACGTCAATCGCAATTAGCATATGACAAAACTCTACCATGGTCTTCCATTTATAATAAATTGATCAGCAGTTACTGCAAATACCGGTTGGGACAAAAGTAACAGGACAAATATTTTTTTCGATTTTTTCCCTGTACATAGTCAGTTTGATCTCATATTTATATCACAAATACTAGATAGCATAACTCAAAGAAGTAACACATAATCTATATCTATATGTAGTAATTTTTTCAAAAGCGTACAAATACAGAGTGATGAAAAGTAAGGAAATGTGTTTGACAGTTATAGTTTTGGTACCACAACATATACTATTTTGTCTTCTCTACTAGTATTTGTGTATGGGTCAGTGGTGACAACTGATAGATAACAGCACAAATGGTTAACTCTTGTCTCCACTGACTCAGCTTTTGTTTTCTTCATACACTCGGTTTCATGCACCGTTTTAGTTGAGTATTTTCATTCCAACACTGTATGCGATCGCGTATGTGTGACATGATAGAAAAAATTAGCAAAGAAGGACCAGTTTTACCCAATAATGCTCAAGTTGTTTCAGATTGTTTTTTAACTATGAGCGAACGTTCTCGGCTGTCCACATCAGAAAGAATTGAAACTGTAAAATGGTATGCCATTTACTAGAATACAGGTGAAGTTGCTCGTCAGTTTCAGTAATATTTCGACCAAACTTCTCCAACACGAACCAACACCTTGAATCTTGTACAGAAGTTCAACGAAATCGGAAGTATTCATGATGCAACTAAATCGGGTCGACTTAGATCTGTTAGTAACGACGAGAATCGAGAACGAATTCTTTCTGCTTTTCAAAAATATCTTGAGACATCATCCAGAAGAGCATCTTTTGGGTTGAATCTGGCTCGAACCAGTCTTCGACGAATGATAAAGGAAATAGGATTGAAATCCTATCGTCTTCAATTACTACATGCCTTGAGTGAGGATGACCCCAATCGACGCTGTGAATTTGTTGATATCTTTCTGGACTTGGCCGATGACGAACCTTCGTTGTCTGATCGAATTATTTGGCCCGACGAAGCTATTTTCAAGTTAAGCAGACACGTCCATTGAGATAATTGCGTTTACTACGCTGTAGAAAATGCTCATATTGTCATTAGGGAAGAGATGAATGCTCTGGATGTTATCGTTTGGGTTGCAATTTTGTCTGGAGGCATCATGGGTTCATTCTTCTTTCGTGATACTGTTAATGAGCATAGCTATCTTGAAAAGTTGAATCAAGAAATTGTTCCTGCTATCGAATATCAAATGAATTTAGAAGAAATATTTTATATGCATGATGGCGCCCTGCCTCATTATGCTCAATCTGTTCGACAGTTCTTGGATAAAAATTTTGTTAATTGGCAGATTGGGTGGCATGGACTGATTGAATGGGTACGACGATCTCTAGATCTAACTCCGATCGACTTCTTTTTATGAGCTATAATCAAAGACTGTGTATATACAACAAAACCTCGAACTCTTCAAGAAATCAAGGATGCTATTGTCTCAGAAATACGGAGCTTGCCAGTGGCATTATGTCGACGAGCGTGTTAAGCAGTACTTGAGCGACTAAAGCTTTGCAAAGACTCCGAGGGTAAACACAGTGAACAATTCTTGTGAAAAGTGTCGCTGTTAAAAAGAATTCATAAGTATGTGTTATTGTGTGTCCCATTTTCTAGTTCTATTGCTTTAATAAACATTTTGTTAAAACGCACACTTGTTTTCTTACGTTTGGTTCCTCTATATTTCCATGCTTTTGAATAAATTAATACATCTAGATACTGATTATGTGCTACATCCTTGAGTTATGCCATCTAATAATTTTGGTATAAGTATAAGATTCAATTGAGTATGTACGCGGAAAAAAAAATCAAAAAAAATATTTGTCCTGTTACCTTTGGTCCACCCTGTAGAAACAAAAATAAATATAAATCATAATTTAACAAAATATAATAGAAATCACAGCAAACACAAAACTGTTCAACACAATGTATTGTATCTATTATTTGTAATTCGAAGAACACTAATGGATTACGTAGATACCAATTGTATATATAACATTTCTAATGGAAGAAGAATAAGTGATTCAATAAGGAGGACGGTCAGAAAAGAATATGATATCTATCGAACCAATGTCTTAAGTTATCAAATCAAAATACAGATCGATGAACAAATTCACAAGTCGTATATCGTTATTCTCAATGACAAAAAAAAAGGGGAACTTTATAAAATACAGTGCATCAAAAATCCTGAAAATAAGAGACAAGAGTACTAACAAAATCCTACTCGAGTAGGACTACTTCGAGTTTTTTGCCCAACTCTGGTTTTCATAATAATACTTTTGTTTACTTTCATTAAGAATTAGCGCATACGGTGATAAGTTGGGGTTCCAAACCTCTCCCACATCGGTGAATGTTCTTATACAGCTTCAAACACCATGAAAGGTACTTTTGTGTTGCCGTACGCCTCCTCTCTTTTTACACATTTTCACATATTTCTATTGAGTTGAAGTTTATTCCTCTATTAATATAGAATCTAATTAAAATCTGAAGACTTACCATCGACTTTTTTCCACATTCTTTGAAGCATATTATGGTTGGTATCTTCATTATCAATATTTATTAATAGTCAATACCTATTTCTGTAATTGGAACATTTTGATGATTTCTTTCTTTTTTTAAAGGAAGGAAATCGTTGTGTTTCTATTTTAATCTTGAAGAGATTGCGTAAGCCATTTTTAAATTCGACGTACTGCCACGACGCTTTGCTGACACAAAATATCTTAGTTGTAGATATTCCTTTATTTTTTTTATTCCATAGAAAATCAACAGAAAGTGCCACAAGAAAAATATTTACTCATAAATGCGTGTTGAGATTAGGAGTGGCACCTTTATTTTTTCAAAAAAGTAGAAATTTAAAGGCAATAAAACATTTAATATTCACTAGAGTAAAGTAAATAAAGTATTTACTGTTTACTAAAGTAAAATAAACATATTCACTTTCTCTTAGAGAAGAGTCACCCGAATATAAATTGTCTGCTTGATTACTCGCTTGTTTGCGTCGCCGCATTTGAGTGTCTGGCTGCAGATCAATCCGTCAAGAAGAGGGATAATTTTCTTGAAAATTTGACTAACTGTAGATCCGAGTGAAGAATACGAATTCGTGCTCTGTTTTAATTAATTAATTATTAACTTGTTATTACATATTAATATTTTCTACAAAAATTGACCAAAGGTAACGTAGAATGAGGAGTCCAAATCCAAGTTCACTTTTCATAAGTCAATAACTAATTATCATCTAATCATGAATTGACCTCAACTAATAAATATTTTCTCTGAACCTTGGTCAAAGGTAGCCGAGAGTGAAAAGTCCAAAGCTCAGATCAGTTGTAATTATTCATTCATTACAAATTAACTGATTATTAATTATTCACTTCTTTCAAAAGACTTGGGCAAAGGTAATCAATGGTGGATTCCCAGGAGGGCAGAAGACGGGTAAAAAGACTAGTTAGTTTTACTAGTCATGACGCCCCGTCACTCACTAGTCTTTTTCTCAAAACGACCTAGACATGACTAGTCTGATATTGTTGGGAGTCCGTACACCGCGTCCTGACTAGTCCAGAGACGGGAGTCAGTATTTCAATATAGTCTAGTCATTTTTGCAAAAAGGACTAGTCCAGACTAGTAATAGTTGTTGAAATAGACTAGTCATGTGGGGTCACTTTTTAAGGGAATGACTAGTCAAGACACGGCAACATGACGCCAGTCTGTCACAAAAATATATGGTCTCGTATCTCCTCTTGTCGCCTCCGGACTAGTCCTGACGGTTCATCATGACACCCGTCCGATATATTTAAAAATTGAAAAATATAATTGTGCATATCAATCATATTGCTAACTACATGCTACACATTACACAACTACTAGTCATTCATACCGTCTGAAATCCGTTCTTTTGTCAGTCAGATGTTGGCGTCCAGACTAGTCTAAATTATAGAAGCAAAGCGGTGAAGGTTAGATTCGAACATACATACTTTGTGTTACATACCTAGCTTGGCAAGCAGTTGTACCATACACGCTGATGTTTCATCAGTGACACATCTAGCTCTTCCTGACACGTCTTTCACACATTAATGATCAGAGAAGTTCATAATATTATTTAATAAAAATTATTAATTCATGTACTAAGAGACTATTTAATGGTGTATATCAATACAAATCAAAAGTTCCGATTATTAGTTACAGGAAGCACTACTTCAGAAGATTATTTTAAGAAAATTAGATTTGAGAAGTTTTTTTAAAGAAACAATTTATTTTTATTAATAATAAAAATGATTTTTATCTGTTAACTATTGTCTTTTAAGCTAGGATATTCTAAAACAGTAACACGATTACCAGGTTCACATATACAAGCGTTTTTTTTTCAAAATAAATTTTGGATGCTTCAGATGGAAAATTTTTGATGGTTTTAATTGTAAAATATAAGGTATTTGATATTGATCATTAGAAATATTAAACTTAATTTTTGATGCTCCAGGTTTAATTTCCACAAGTTCTTCGATGAAAAGACGAACGGTGTTTTTTTTTGATTGAACAATTGCTCGAATAAGACCATATTTTACTTGATCATCGGCAAAACTGAATGAGATACAACTGTCAGCAACTAATTTTCTGTAAGCAGTTACAGTAGTCTTTATTAAAACACCTGATATTATCAAAGAATGATAGAAAATTAAACCATCATTAAATAGTGATTGTACACGTGTGGCTATACCATTTTCACTTGTATCATATAAATCTTTAGATACTGGATTAGATAAAAAACATGAGTCAACAAAATTTTTATAATGAATATTTGATTGTTTTCGATCAAGTAATTCTTCATTGAATGTAAACAATATCAATGGATAAGATTCATGTTTATGAAGAACTAGAGAATCACGATATAAAATGTGTTGTCGAATAAGTTGTTTAGCAAATTCAGTTGTACCATGAACTGTGCTAACCAAATCTTTATCAATACCTATAATAAGAAAAATTAATAAAACTTTTAAAAAAAGTAAAAAGTTATATGATTACCTTCAAATGAAAATGTTGAATAAAACCATAATAGACCCATTACACTTAAACCTTGATGTACATGTAATAAAGAATGAATATTAGAACTCATATGACGTATACCAAATATTTGTTGAAAACGTTGAACGAAATAATTTAATAATTTTTCAACAATTTCAATAGTTTCAACTGTTACATAATTCGAAGATGCAAGATTAATTGCTGATACAAATGAAAATAATAGATTTTTCAATTCATTATCATTAATATGTCGAACAAGACTTGTTAAACCAAAATGAAATAAACATCGATATTCACTTCCTTTATATTTACTAATAAATTGTAATGAACGAAATCTACGTTGTGTTGTTGATGGAGTTTGTACCAATGCTAATGATTCATCTATTTGTGTTATTTTCTTAAATAAAGACCAAGATTTATTTCGATATTCTGAATGGAATAGCCAATTAGATAAACTAGTGATTCAATCATCAATCTCAGATGTTCTATATACAATGAAATAAAAAAATTTCTTCTTTATAAATATGACCGATCAAATTAATAATATTGTTGATGAAAACTCATACAATTTATAATTTAATGAACAATAATCGTACGATAACGAAAATATGATAATAGTAATTGTTTTCATTTTTTCTGTTCTATATGATAAAAACAGTTAAAGATAGAGACAAATCGAAGTTAATGATTTTTAGCATTTCAAACTTAATAAATTTTCCTTATTAATAGAACAATTTTTATAACTGATAATCGATAAATAAACTACACCATTGTAGAATCTTTGATAATTAAACAGTCGTGTTTTTCATAATACAAGTTTGTAACTTTGTTATTCTTAAGTTATGAATACCTACTGAGATGTATTGAATTGAAGGTGAAAAAGAGTTTTCATAAACAAGCAACTAGTGCAAACTCAAAATTACATTAAGTTTGTGTAATTAGACTAGACTTGACAAGTATTAAAGATATAACCAACTATCAATGTAAAATGTCGTACTGAATTTCGGACTAGTCTTGTTCAGACAGCATGTCATTTCTAATAAAACATGGTAGTCTTGACTGGTGCTCAGGATCTCTCAGACTAGTCCAGACATATATTTCAAAATTCTTAGACTAGTCTAGTCCCGTCATTATACTATCTCATAAGACACTGACTAGTCCTGACGCCGACACCAAATATTTCGGACTAGACTTGACTAGTCCTGACACCGGCACCAAATATTTCGGACTAGACTTGACTAGTCCTCAGAATATCTCAGACTAGTCCTGACATACATATCAGAAATATTAGACTAGTCCAGTCCTGTCAGTATGTCGCTTTTTAAAATACTGACCAGTCCTGACGGTCACACTCAGTATTTTAGACTAGACAGGACGGCTGTTGCGGACGCTTTGGACTAGACATGTCGCCAGTCCTCTCTTTTTTTTGCTTGCCTGAGTTATTAGGATCCAAGGTCCTTTCTAATTATAAACATATTATTTTTTTAATTAAAAGTCATTTATATTTTTCGTGAAAACTCGACCAAAGGTGATCGAAGGTGAAGAACCCAAATTTGGGATCTGTTTTAATCATTAATCATCTATATTTTTCGCAATACTCGAAAAGGAAAGATTGAGGGTCAGGAACCTGAATCCTGAGTCTGTTTGGATTTTTTTCTAACTTGTAAGCTTAATTTTTCGATTTCGCTCCATGCTTCAAGGATTTTCTTCTGAGAGACAAGAGTTCCAGAAACGATTTAAGAACCTAGCAATAACAAAGCTATTGATTCTCTGTATACCAACGTGGAAGACGCCTACCATTGCATTGAAGCTGATTATCGTGGAATGAAAAATCTACCAGGGTCGTCTCACGTTTGTGAAATTTCGATAACGTTTAATCTACAAAAGCATTTAGTTAATTTTCAACCTTTTTCGACGAATAATCGAAATAAATCAGTTTATATTCATACGAAAAACATAGACTTCCTCAACATTTTCAGCATGAACAGTTACTCCCTATTCCAAACGTGAAAACATAAAATGAAATTATGCGCCTAGATTTTTTCGGATACTTGAACGAATTAATTTTAGAATGAGTTTTGGAAAAATTTTTTGTTTGGTGTCGTCTCCATCGAATTTCGGAACTAATCTTCGTTCATTTATTTCTCGAACTACCCACATTGCTCAATTCAAATGACCTGCTCAAATCAGACTTCTCATGATTTTTATCAAATGCCCTTTCATAAGATGTTGAAAAGTTTTTTTCAGATTTCGATGAAAGAATAAAAAGTAGCATTTTTAAACTTTTCCTTGTATTAAGGGTGTTTTAAGGATTGCTCGAGATATCTTCCTGAACATCGGATTTTTAGCCTCGTCCCGATGGACTTTTTCATATGAAAGACTACATAGATGATTATAAGTGGTTTCTTAAATCAGAATTCGCACAAGATATTTAAAAACCTTTGCCTGTATGGACCACTTCTGTTCTTCTGTGGAGCGTACTTTGACAGTAATTCATTCTTGTCGTAAGATTTAAGATGCAGCTAGTGCGACACACGCCAATGCAAAGACTTACGGCCATATTTTCGTTCCATACTATTGTAGAAGTCGATGTCTATGCGGCAAAAGTTAATGTGTCTTGTCGTCTCTAGATGATGGTTCTACTAGCTCGCGTCGTTTTCCGTCTGACAGACCCACAGCGAATTTTCGTCGTGCGCAATGTCATAAGCAGTCGTATAATATCTTTTCGTCCCTTCAGAATGCTTTACTTATGAACTGTTTCTAATTCGAACTTCCAACTGCATGTCACGATGGACTAAAGCGACAGGATGTTGAAGACAAGCCCGCTGGCATGCAGAGAGATTTTCGATCTCGTAGGTACCAATGCTATATGAATGGTTAAGAATAAATGAATACACTAATGAAAACATTGTACTGAAGCTTGCGGACCAACAATATTCGATTTGCAGGTAATAGCAAGGAGCTAACGACTTCATTTGAAAAGCTTATACTCAGAAACACAGAAAATCTCAGAAATCTACGGAAAAACGTTTCGGAGCACTCGGAATGTCATGTTCTCTCCTGAACAACCTATCAAAAGTTTTCGAACTTCGAAAATGCATTTCGTCGATTTCCGAACATCTACTACTTTTCAGTGGAAATCTCTATGCTGACCGTTGTTATCGATCAAAAGAAAATATCATATATCCACACGGCCTTCCATTACCTATTTTCCAACGAATATTCAGTTTCAGATCTTCAAGTGTTGATATCAGACTGGAAGCCAAGATCAAACGTACCTACATCCAACTGTTTCATACTAAACCTGTTAAAAACTTACTGACATACTTTGCAGCTGATACCCTAAAAGCGACATATATGAATAAAATTTTTGTTTGAAATTTTCGTCATTTAGGTATTCAAAAAAGAATAAATAGACTCCGAATCTTCTTTTCTCCTAATATTGTACTTGAATGGAATCTTGCTTGTTCCAATTCGTTTAACACTATATCTCCGCTGATATGATCTAGTAACACACTTCGCTTCGAAATGCTTCATATACTTGAATGGAACTGTGATTAACACAATTCATTATTCAATACATTCACGCTAATATGAACGAGTAACATACTTCGTTTCGAAATGCATCACATACTTGAATGAAACCCTGCTTGGCACAAATCATTGTCCAATACCTTCTCCTTGATATGATCGAGTAACACACTTCGCTTCGAAACGCATCATATACTTGAATGGAACCTTTTTTAGCACAAGTCATTATCCAATACATTCACGCTGATATGATCGAGTAACACACTTCACTTCGAAGTCCATCATATATTTGAATGGAAACTTTATTAGCACAAGTCATTATCCAATACGTTCTCGCTGATATGATTGAGAAACACACTTTGCTTCGAAGTACATCATATACTTGAATGGAATCGTGATTAACGCAAGTCATTATCCAATACATTCGCGATAATATGATCAAGTAAGACACTTTGCTTCCAAACGTATCATATACCTGAATAGAATCGTGATTAGCGCAAGTCATTATCCAATACATTCAGGCTGACATGATCGAGTAATATACACCGCTTCGAAATGCATCATATAATTGGATGAAACCTTTATTAGCACTAGTCATTATCCAACGCATTCTCAGTGATATGATTGAGTAACACACCTCGTTTCGAAATGCGTTATATACTTGAATGGAATCGTGATTAGCGCAAATCATTATCCAGTGCATTCTCACTGACATGATCGAGTAACATACATCGCTTCGAAATGCATCATATACTTGAATGGGAACTTTATTAGCACAAGTCATTATCCAATACGTTCTTGCTGATATGATTGAGTAACACATATCACTTCGAAACGCACCATATACTTGAACGGAATCGTAATTAGCGCAAGTCATTATCCAATCCATTCCTGCTGATATGATTGAGTAACACACTTCGCTTCGAAATGCATCGTATACTTGAATGGAATTGTGGTTAGCACAAGACATTATCGAATACATTCTGACTAATATGATTGAGTAACACACTTCACTTCGAAGTACATCACATACTTGAATAGAGCCCTGTTTAGCACAAGTCATTATTCATTACATTCACCTTGATATGATTGAGTAACACACTTTACTTTGGAATGCATCATATACTTGAATGCATGCCTACTTAACACAAGTCATTATCGAATAAATTCTCGCTGATATGATTGAATAATGCACTTCACTACGAAATGCATCATATACTTGAATGAAATCGTAATTAGCGCAAGTCATTATACAATAAATTCAGGCTGACATGATTGAGTAATATCCTTCGCTTCGAAATGCATCAAATATTTGAATGGAATTGTAGTTAGCACAATTCATTTGTCAACAGATTTTTATTGATACAGTTGAGTACCAAATTTCGCTTCAAATGGAGTGATATCTTTGATGAAAAAAGTTATTGTTGTCGGTTATTTACTTTACCTTAGTGGATTGTGTGGTCCAACATCATAAGCTAGTCTAGAGGAAAGAAGCTAGTTGAATACACTCGTCATGGAAGTTATTCACATCTCATGCGTGCTGGGACAAGTACAACATAGTCAAATTATTGTTTTTTAATCGATAAATTACTTGTATAGTATACTATTAGGCGTTGTACACTGATGTTGCAGGTTATGCTCATCAAGAACAGTGTGGCTTTCGTATAGAAGTGATAAAAAGAGTCGAATAGGTTTATAATTAGAACGATTCTCTAACCATTTGATTCTTAATCAGATTGTTTAGTATCATATTACTTTGACAATTCAATGAAGTACTTTTATTGTTCACTGGAAAAACTGTACCCGTAGCTACTTGATTTCTTTGTGCTTTTTGAGTTTGTTGCAAAAATATTGTATTCGAGAGCATCACAACGGGTTATTTGAATGTAACCAGTGCACTGCTGACTATTTCTTTCAAATATCACCAGTTAATCATGAGTTAAATCGTGATTAGGTATTTGACAATAGTATAAATGAACTGAAGCTTGATTATGATTATTCATCAGCATCACATTTTCCGACCTTCTGTTCAATTATCTTCCATTGCTCATGAATAAAGTAATTGAATAAGATCTTGTTAAGAACAATTCATTTCCCATGCATTACACAATCTTATGTCCTATTATCACCGATTGCCGTAGAAAAAAATAAATCTATCAATTCTTAGTCAGGAGGATTCAACTGCTGTAATTACTCCAAAACTTCGTTTTATGCTCATTGGCTGTTCAAGAATAAAATAATTGAATGTCACATTGGTCAGGATCATTCACTTGTCATGCATGGCTTAATTTTCCATTACACTGTCATTGACTTCTTAAGAGTAGAATAAGTGAATAAGATGTTTTTAAGAATAATTCGACTGTCATGCATTATTTACTCTTCTGGTCTACTTTCATTGGTTGCTAGAGACTAGAATATTTGAATATAAACTTCCTCAAAATAATTCATCTATCGCGTATTGTAGAATCTTCTCTTTTAATTACATTAATTGCTGGAGAATAAAATGACTGGACACGACTTTTCTTACGACAGTTTGTATGCCATGCATTATCGAATCTTCTGTTACACTTTCATAGATTGCTAGGAAGTATAATAACTGGATCCAAACTTATTTAGAATAATTCATCTCCTCTGAATTACCTCTTCTTCTGTTCTACTCTCATCGATCACTGGAAAGTAAAATAATTGAATGCTACTTTGCTTATGATAACTCACCTGCCATGCATTGTCTAGTCTACTGTTCTGCTTTCATTGATTGCTGCAAAAATAAAATAATTGAATACGATCTTTTTAAGAATGTTTCATTTACCATGCATTGTTCAACTTTCTGTACTACTGTCATTAGATATTGAAGAGTAAAATAATTGAAGACACCCTTGCTTAGGATAATTCATATGTTGTGCAGTTTTTGAATCTTCTTCTCTACGTCCACTGATTGCTAGAGAGTAAAATAGCTGAATGCGACCATGGTAAGGATAATTCATCTATCATGAATTGTTGGGTTTTCTGTTTTTTTTTTATCTATTGCTGAAGAATAAAATGGTTGAATAAGATCTTACTAAAGATAGTTCATCTACCACGAATCCTTGGATTTTCTGTTCTATTGTCATCTGTTTCTAGAGGATAAAAAATAATGGAATATACACTTCCTTAGAATAGTTCATTTTGCATGAATTATTTAGTCCTCTATTCTACTAGTTTGATCGATTGCTGAAGATCAGAATCATAGAATATGCCCTTACTTAAGAACATTTATGTGCCGTGCATTATTCAATTTTCGTTCCTAAATCAATTGAGTGTTGTAGAGAAAAATAATTGAATAAGGTATTTTTAAAAATGATTCATATGTCATGCATTGTTTAAACTTTTTTTCTACTTTGATCTCTTGCTGCAGAATAAAATAATTGAATACAACCTTCCTTGGGATGATTCATTTTCTACATATTTTCTAATCTTCTGTTTGACTGCTATCAGTAGTTGGAGAGTGAACCAGCCGAATATAACTTTTCTTAAGATAATTCATCTCTTACGAGTGTGTATGCTTTCTGTTCTACTACCAAAGATTACTGCAGATTAAAATGATTGAATCTGACCTTGCTTAGGAGCATTGGTTTGCCATGTATCCCTTAATTTTATATGCTACTTTGGTCCACTTTCGGAGCTAAAAATGATTGAATATGTTTTTTCTTGGGATAATTCATTCGCCATGCATCATTTAACTTTGCTTTACTTTCCTCGATCATTGAAGAGTATAATTATTGAATACAACTTTGTTTACAATAATTCATCTGCCATGAATTGTTCAATTTTCCTTACTATTGTCAACAGTTGTTGAAAACTAATATAATAGAATACAACGTTGTTTAGAATAATTCAACTGCTTTGCAATATGTGCGATTTTCCGCTCAACTTCTACCTGATTTTGGGGTGTGTCATGCTTGGATGAAGGATTCCTTGGAATGGTTTACTCCTAGTGTGATAGTGTAACCTAATGTTTCTAAGTACTTTCTAACTTAGCCATGCCAAAAAACGAATTAATGCC